GAATTGATGTTTATTTAAGTATTAGTTTAGTTAATAAATTTTCAAAACCTTGATCAGAAGGTCGTTATATTCTAATTATTATTCATGTCGACTCATACAAGATTTTATTATTTGAAAAATTTTCTTCGTTTGGGAAATCTCATTTGTTTTTGGGAAAAACGTATATGAATACGTAACACAAAATCCAATTTGGATATGATTGTCTCCCCTCTCCGACCATTATCAGCCTTGACCACGTATATTACTTTGAGACAACATAATATATATATATGCATATATTTGAAATACTAATCTCATTTGCACGTCGACTGTAGTTCGACGGACAAAGACAGTCCATCCTGTAACGGGAACCAAGTCCAAGTGTGTCCAAATCTTTACTGGAATCCCAAAAACTAGGACGTGAGATCAGCTTGATGTGAACGTGGTGCCGGCCCGGCGAGAAGAGAGCAAAATATCCTGGTGCGATTACCGCGAAGGTGTCTGTCACCGATTATTCGTTTGAAGTTACGAAACTCTAACCAAAATAAGAATCATCCGCCTTTATCATATCTTGATATGGTCGTTCGCAGCTGATAAATAATTACCCTTACAAATTGTACGTCGTGGAATCAAAAATGTTACTTAAGCAAAATATGTAATGCATTGGGTCATTATTTTTGGGAAAATATACATGTAATCATTTAAATGTTCTGTTCTTTATTACCACCAGTATGATAGCTGCTACGACGCACCCACAGCACTCACAGTCACTCCCAGTTACCCGCGTCGGAGTCGTGCTACGCTGACGGCTACAGTGGTGGGGTTAGAGTGATCCTAGGCGGGGGGCGCCGAAGTGGTTCCCATACTACTCCCGTATTTCTAGTTTTTTAATTAGAAGCTTTGTTGAAAAGTTATGAATTTTTTAAGTTCTGCCAATCAGGCGCTTGGCTCCGCCAACATGGTCCCAAAATAGAAATTTCCTGAACGGCCATCTTGGAAATTTCCAACTCCTCCATTACAGGGCCCGAAAATTCGGTGTTCTGGGGAGTGTACAAAGCGATTGCAAATTGCGTGCAACTTCCAGAAAACATGGTCACAGAATGGGGATTTTCCTTCCATTTAAAGGTTGAAAAAATTGGCTCCAAGGGATCGATACAGATCCATAGAAAACCGCGCGAAATTTCGAAAAACCATCATGGCAAAATGGAAATTTCAATCTTTATGCTGCAAGTGCTCAACGAAAGACGCTCTCGACCAAATCAAACAGATACTTGGGAATTTCTTTCGAAAGGACGTGTAAACTTGATTCTCCCATGCAAATTCTTACTTTCTTTTTATCTCGTCCATCTCTATCGCATTCCGACTGATCCAGGCTGTAATTTAAACAGTATGGAAATTGAAATGACAAATAAAATATGTAACAATTCATTTAAGGTGAAGAATATACAAACTCTAATAATTGTAAAATTTAACAATGAATGAATCAATTAATTAATAATTATTCTGCACTCTCGTCATCATCATTATTATAATCATCACCATCTTCAATGTCATCATCGTCATCATCATCGTCATTCTCGTCATTCCCATGATCAACGCCGTCAGGTGCATGGTCACCGCCTTGTCGATGAGGAAACTGAAACGCAACAAATGATAGAAATTTGTGTTTTACAAAAGTTGTTACAGATCAATTTTTAATTACTAGTGATGCGGCAAGACAAGACAACAATCGCAATTCTCACTCTCTTGTCTTGCCTGGCTTTTATCTTGTCTCGTTCTGAATACTCGTTGGCAGCATCACTATTAATTACTTGACATACGGCCCAAAATGTCCTCCTCCTTGATCCAGGCATAATTGAGCGCTCCTGTCAACCTCTGCTTCCACCCTGCCTAGCATGTCAGGAGAGATCAATGCCACAGCACCGTGGAGCCGGGTAATCATTACTCTGGGGTATTGATAGTCACTTCATAGACTGTGAGATAACCCCAGAGGAAAAAGTCCATCAGGATTAGGTCTGGTGAGCTAAAGAGAGGAAAAGTTGAGGAGCCATTGGCAGAAAGCGACTCTGGTTGCTCGATCACCTGTAAAATCAAAAACAAATGTTGGCAGCGTTGACAAAAGAATTATTCGATAATTGACCAAACCGATCATGGCTGATTATCCAAAACCGCGAACCCGCTAAACTGAAAAGAATCTAAGATCGATACCGACGATTCACCGAATCTTAGAGACCGAAAAGTGAAGAACGAAGACCAATACCGAAAAATTTGTCAACCGAAAACCGTGAAAATCCATGAAGAAAAATTGAAAAACCCCGGAAAAACGTTGCTGAGCAACGGACAATACTAAATTGATACAGGGGAATAAAATTGTAGACGTCAATAAAAATTTGATTATCTAAATAAATCTTGCAATATCAGGTCCAGAGTCTTCATACCTTCTACCAATTCCTGCACTGGTGTTATGTGAAACGGGTACAGCCTATTGTTTTTCAATATTCGATGGACAGTAGATTGACTAGTGTCTAACCGCATTGCAAGACGTCTGGTGCTTGCACCAGGATTCGCGTGCACCTCCTCCAGTACGGCGTCGTCCAGCTCCATACGCTCATCTGGGACTACATGAGGTTCTCGTCTCTGTGGGACGAGACAATTTTGTCTCCCGGTATTCCCGGGCTGTGAACATGCTTCTGTAAAGTATTCAGACATGAAAGAACTTTTTGAGAGATTGCGTTCGATCTTTCTATTGGATAACGGAGGAAATTCCCAATCTTCTTATGTATTTAAATCATTAACAAATATTTTTTTTACCGAGTGAAACCGTAGCTGAATTAAAAAAAAACAATTATTGCCTCAGTTCTTTTTACATCTCTTCAAAACTAATAAACTTAACACGTTTTTCCTTTTTCCGGTAGATTCCTCCCTGGCGGACCAAATTGAGAGTTGGATTCTCGATTTGTTCCTGCGTTTGAGAGGGAATTGATAGTGAATTGAGAGGTGGAGTAAAGGGGCCAAAAATGTATTTCATGGCCGCCAATGTCTTTTGTGTTTACTTAGGCAAAAATTGGATAATGGGTTTCTTATTTTTGAAGGCCTCTCAAAATAATTTGTCCTTTTTTGTGTGATATCCATAAATTCTTTAAAAATCCAGGCCACGTTTAACATTAAAAAAATTCACCGACGCATTGGATTTCGAAATTGTCTTTCGACAATTCCGAAATCACTACGAATAACTCGGGTTACTTAAAAACCGAGAAAATACAATATAAAAGTAGAACAATAATCAGCGAAAATTAGACCGTGTGACAAAATATCACACCTCGAATTTTCGCCGTCAACCATTTCCACTGAATCAGATAACGCCCTTAATTCAAACTATAAAATCGAATTATGCACAATAAATCTCCAGCCGCGGCAAAATCGTAGAACCCCGCGGTTCTCTTTTTTTGGAGATTTAAAAGTCAAGTCATATCAATCTTTTGAAACGGACTAGCGCCACGGTACCGATAAAACAGTATCTTTTTGAATTACGGCGGTAAGCTAAATCATCTTCCTCGTAACATCGATATTTTTCGGTAAATTGATCGTCGCCTGAGATCCGCGAGATTTGTGACATTTAAGAATTTTCTCCTTTTGTCACACTTAAAAATCATCAAGAACTTCCGCGGCTCCAAGTGCTGTTTTTGAAATCATTTTAAAGTGTGACTTCTCTTTCCTTCTCTTTTCCTTTCCAAATCTGAAACGCAGATTTTGGAAATTCTGTCGGTTTTATAAGTAATAAAACCGGTCGTGTGTGTTACACTCAGAGAGGCCGAAAAACATTAAAGCCCACTGTATTTTTCAACAAATGCCAATTTTAAAGTCGAGCGTGTATAAACATATTTTATTCCATCAACTTGAATTCTAATTGTCGCGTAACTCTTTCTCAATGCTTTCGTTGAGCCGACCCACGATCTGAAAAATAGAATTTCGTTAATTCAGAAGTGATTCACACAAACGATCTTTTAATTATTTTTGTGGTATTTCATGCTCATCTATGTTTAAGACTCGTCGAAACTCTCACCGGGGGCAAATTTCTCAATTTATCTCTTCCCTCACATCACCGACGTGTCTTTATCATGGCCAACCCCGGAAATATCACTTTAGATGGTCAAGTAACAGCTGCACACTATGATCCTGAATTTGAAAATGCAGAACATCTTTTTAGAAATGTTCCTGCTTTTTATGGGAATAAACATGACAGAGTTACTTTTGATATTTTTGAGGAAGAGGTTCAATATGTGATCCATGCCGTGCCTAGAAGTAAAAAGGGTTTATATATCTCTGCCCTTTGCTCAAAAATTAGGTATCCTGCCAGATCAGAGATTGAGGGAAAAACATTTACCTCACTATTAGATTTATTAAAAGATTTAGGTAGTAACTACAGGCTCGAGAAAACCGAAATGAGAACTCGGGAAGAATTGAGGGATTGCCCATGGTATGCAAATGAAGCTGTGGAAGATTTCTTGTGCAGATTAAAAGAACATCATTGGGCCGCCCTTAGAGAAGCAATTCGAGTACACGGAGAGGATTCTAGGGCCCTTCTTGAGAAGCAATTAGATTCAATCGCCGTAGCTCGTTTCTATTCACTATTTCCACCTTATTATCAACACGCGCTTTATCATGCGAAATGCGCAACGTTAGAAGATGTAACCAACACAGGTAAGAAGTCTAGAGCATACAAATATCAGTATAATCTTGAAACTGCTGACACTCGCTCTGAAGGACCCCCACCAGGACCTAGGGAATCGCGTAGCGTACAGCCTTTGCATTCACGGGAAAAGAGCCCAGGTCATATATTTCACCATGTGGTTCCTATGAGCCAAGAGTATGCGGACAATGGACGTTATCGTTCCACATCACACCATCGGCGTTATCGACAATACACTATCCCCCATGCCGACGAATTTGTGCCTGATCAACAAGAGCCCCCTTTTTCACCAAGGAGTCGATCACATCACCGACCTGTCGCGGGAATAGATCCCCCAGGGGAATCAAGTAATCAGGAACCCAAACTGCTAGTTCGCGTAGTTGAGGCCCCACCTGATCGTTTCAAAAAAATAGGATCACAAATGAATACGTTAACAGCGGTGATTAGTAACTTGGCAGAAATTTTAACGAAAAATCTAGATACTACACCACCCACCGAGAAATCGCGTCATCGCTCTCATCCTCAGAAAGGTTCCCCACATAGTAGATTCTTCACGTCACTCGAGCCCTGATCGCTCTCGACGTACGAGTTTGAAAGTAAAAACAAAGTCATCAGAAGACAAAGAATATTGCAATCGGAAACCAAATTTCCCCCACAGAACACGATCACGCGAACAAATTCCAGAAACCAATCCTTTAAACGGGAGAAACGCTCGTCGCAACGACTTCGCGACGAGCGAAACAAAATTAAACAAGGAGTCCCATATGAAAACAGCGGGTAATCCACTCGTCAAGAAATCCTAAAAATAAATGTTTGCCCCTCTGGAAGTGGTCGACAAGTCGTCATCAAGGGCCCACAATTACATTCAGTAGGGACGACTGCCCTCATTAACACCGGTTCACAAATTAATCACATTCACTCTAAATCTTTACGCCAGGACGCAAAAATTGATACATCCAAAAATATGCTTGTGAGCGGTTTGACTCAAGTATCAATTCGGTCTATAGGTACAATAGCTCTAAAAATTGGAGAAACAGACGTGAGATTCCATGTAATTAACCTACAGCCGGGAGGATGCAAAGCACTGTTGGGACATGAATTTTTAAAACAAGAACGAGCGCGCATTTCCTACTATAAACACTAATGACAGGCAGGAATTCCGGGGATTAACTAATGATTTCTTTCAAACAATCGGAACCACGATTCTGCACACTTTAAGAGCTGCATCCACTTTTCATGTCGTGGAGACTAAATTACCTGTTGATGGAGTCGGTATAATAGGGAATGAATTTTTAATCAAGGAAAAGGCGGACATTATTTATGCACATAGAAGTATCGGCATCGCCAAACACCCTACAAAACCTATCCATTGGTTCCGAGATCTTGAACCACATACGAGTTTTACCATTCCGCCTAGAGTACGATTAGTAGTTCCTGTCGAGATTATTAACCCTTCAATAGAAGGAGGATATCTTCCGAAATTAAATCTAGAAGATGGAATTTTCGCGGGGGAAGCTGCTACTCGCGTTGAAGAAAATCTAGGTATGGCGATGGTTGTGAATCCATTCAATGAAACCGTGCAGGTAAGAATTCCACCACAACAATTACAACCTTTCGATTTCATTTTGGCAGTCATCTGAAGAAGAGGAAATCTGCGATGCTGGACCAGTGAACGTAATGAAAAACGATCTGTACAAAACATCTGCAGAGAGAATACAAAAGCTGAAGGAATTGGTACCTACTGATAAACTGAACGATTTGGAAAGAGCTCAAGTGGAAAGGATCTTGGAATCTTATCATGATATTTTCTTTCTTCCTGCTGTCATCTGAAGAAGAGGAAATCTGCGATGCTGGACCAGTGAACGTAATGAAAAACGATCTGTACAAAACATCTGCAGAGAGAATACAAAAACTCAAGGAATTGGTACCTACTGATAAACTGAACG